ATTCAGTCCACGACGATAAACGATCAAATTACACTTTGGATGACAAATCAATAAGTTATCGAATCTACTGCGGTAAGAAATTACCTACTATATAACACATGTCGTTATTCAGTGGAAGAATGTGATGTTAAAAATTAGACATGGTTAAGTAGGTAAATATCATGAATCTTCACACACCGACGAGAAAATATCCACAAACATCGCACTGTTAAGCGCATGAAGCTGCATACTCGTAGGTATACAAACATTGCGAACACATAGGTACTTATTGAAATATATTAGCGGTCACTCGCTCGCCACGTAACACTCCACTTGTCGCGCAACTAATAATGACAATTTGTACACGTCCTTATCGCTAATTTGCGTTCCGTGTGCGGTGCGCTAACGCAATGGCATGTCGCTGGCGCCCCGGTGGACTTTGCTGCGCTTCTTGCTGTGCTATGACACGCGCTCGCACATTATGATTATGAATTATGTCGCGATGTACTATTTCGCGACAGTTTAAATACATTTTAACCTAGTCAATCGGTATGCAAGGTATTTAGTACAAATTCTATATAAATTACAATGTCTTGCCTTAGTGAAAAATAGCATTTGCATGTAAAAGTTCATCATTACTAATTTCTGCGAACATAAATATTGCACAAATATAATCAATTAAATACAATAGAAACAAGACGAGCACAACGATAAACTACTAATAATAGATTATCAATTTTTTACTATGACTTCACATTGATTGTGCGTAAATACATGAAATCCAATGACACATCGCTGATTAAAGACAACGCGATAATGATAATGATGATTGTAGTACATATGAATTCCACATTCATACAAACATAGGCAATTTAATTGCATGCAAATTTCATATTATGTGTAGTTTTTCTATCGGCATAAGTCAAAATGACAATAAATAATAACAATAAATTCTACTCGAATGTAATAAGAAATATTTATTTCATATTGCATATAGCGCACCGTTAAGTTTTTAAGTGTCGGTTAAGCGAGTGTAATTGATCTTAATTGTCACAGTATTGTATTGCGAACTAAAGTAGGAACTTTTAATCTTGAACAAACTATCCACAATCCCCATATTACACATACCGACGTATCTGTAAAGTGTTATACGAGTATCACTCAGACAATTCAAAAGGTGCTTTTACACGAGAGGAGTGTAAAGATATGTGAAGTATCTCATACTTACTTTCTTATGTAAGTAGCTGAGAATGTAGTAGGTTGGTCATCGGCAATAACTCATTGAACTTTTAATGTTTGTTTTCTTGTATTATGTTCTAGAGCTCGCCTTAATAACGCTAGAATTATTTTTGCATTATATATTTATACAAGATTGAAGAATAATTGCCAATCATCTGAGATGAGATCATAATGAAGCCACCCTTGGCTCCGGCGCCCGCTTGCGGCGAAGTCCGAACGCCCACAACATCCGCGACCTACAACCCCAGCGGAAGAGGCCGCATCCCAAGCCGACTAGCCACGAACACCGCCGACCAGACCGCGCTGAGGGTGCTCAGCAAGGGATGCTGAGCGACTCGGCCTCTTTACCATCAACATCGCTCGACGCCGCACGCACTTATCGACCTCTTCCGAGCATCATCAACAATCAAGCACAACCTACGCATCATTTTGGCGCAGTCGGTAGGATTCGAAGAGGTATGCAAAAAATTCCATTATTGACCTACGATCCGGTAGAAGTACGCGCCCCAAGATGGCCGCTCTCGAAAAGTACGCGGGACGTAGAACCATGCAAGCCGAGTTATGGCTGAACCTGTTCGAAGTGGTTGTCTGCGGCAAAACAGACAACGAGAGGGTAGCCATGCTCATGGGCTATCTCGCGCACGACGCGCTATACTGGTACGCAGCGGACGTGGCCCCACGAATGGGCTCCATCACATGGGCGGAGGTCCGACACCAGTTAATCGCGCGGTTTGGCCGTCCAGTGCCCGTCCCGCTGGTGCAGGCTCAACGCCGCGTCCTAGAGCTCGCAGAATCACGCGAGTCGTGTTACAACAACAAGATGGGCTTTGGCGGCACGCCGCCGTCGTCGATGCCGCTCACCCCTGGCCCGCCGACCAATTTGCACATGGACCCACCACCGCCTGCCTCTACGCCCAACCCGCATCATCCGCTCACCGCTGGCCCGCCGCCACATGAGATGATGGATAACGACAGCCACCCTGTCGATGTCGACTTTCGCCAGCTCACGGTCCACCGACGGACCCCTGGCCAACTACAACAAACGCACTGCCTCACCGCAGTTGCCCAGCTGCCGCCTAGCATCTCCACCAGTGTGGGTCGCTTCCCGCAGCTGATCACTACCGAGGATGCAGACGACGGCCGCATCCCCGATGTGGCTTACCGCATACGCCTCGAGCCGGGTACCGCACCCGTCGCCCGCAGACTTTTCCGGCACTCCCAGCCAGATGCCGAAGCCATCCGCGCCCAGGACACCACGGTCCCCATTAGGAGGTCCGCGTCTCCACCCCTCAATGTCGTCACCACTGGCTCCGATGGCACGCCGATTGACGAGAGCTCACAGCAGTCGACCCTCCCCGGTGCTTCAGCGGCGTCCGGCGAGGATCCGCAGTGCACGACGCCCAAGTCTCGCAAGAACGACATGAGCCACTACAACCACCCCACGACGCCTCAGAGTACCGTGCCTTCTCCAGGTGTCGCGAGAATGAACTCGATGCACGAGGAATACGAGATCAGCAGTCCCAGCTGGTCGCGTACTCCTACATGTCCAGTATTTAAAACTCATCGGCCACCTCAAAAACCTACCGTTCGAAGAAAACGGTTAGTCACGACAAGTTCTATGGAATGGACGACAATCCGGATCGCCGAAGATGGCTAGACAAGCTGCTCGCCTTTATGGAGGAGCGCCGCACGCCGATCACAACGTGTCCGACGGTCTCGAAGAACCCGCTCGACCTCTTCCGGCTGTACATGTTTGTGAAGCGACGTGTCCCCTGGCACCAACCCACGCGCCATAAGCTCACGGCTACGAGTAGTGGCCCCTACGTGGTTCTTCGGTCCCTAGGACCCACGCAATATCAATTGGAGAGGTTCTGCGTACGGACCTCACTTCGAGAGGGGGGAATGAAGCCACCCTTGGCTCCGGCGCCCGCTTGCGGCGAAGTCCGGAACGCCCACAACATCCGCGACCTACAACCCCCAGCGGAAGAGGCCGCATCCCAAGCCGACGAGCCACGAACACCGCCGACCAGACCGCGCTGAGGGTGCTCAGCAAGGGATGCTGAGCGACTCGGCCTCTTTACCATCAACATCGCTCGACGCCGCACGCACTTATCGACCTCTTCCGAGCATCATCAACAACCAAGCACAACCTACGCATCAATATAAAATTACACTGGAATTAATGTTGAACCTATTACCTCAAATAAATACCTACATCGAACGGAGTTCAACTTAAACGCTCACAATGTAAAAGATCTCGAAAAGTGACGTGCTTAAAGCATTGACCACTGCTAAAACTTATCTTGGTCATTCAAAATACTTATAGTAACTGATGCAGACCTTTTTATGGCTCCATTATTTAAAGTGCTTTCCTATAACAAGATTAAAATGTTTACTACCTACGTTACTTTTGTCTTCTAAACCCGAAAACCGTATTTTATACATTAATTCATATGTAAATTTAATTGTGGAAATATATCTGCTGACAGACTTAACTTATAATAACTTAATAGTTATTTCAAGAGAACGTGCAATATCAATAGGTATCAATTCTAATAACTGCTTCACTTTTTGTTGAATTTTATAAACGCACCGAAATATTATCTCTTTCAATCGCTTCCTAAGTTTCGCTCTTTTTTCCCACCCGAGAAAACCATAAAAACGCAACAAATCGAGAATTAATGTACATATGAAATACAATTGCTAACTCTGTAGTGTAGCAGAATAATCGTTTTAAGTGAGAGCTAGGCACTTTCTAATTCGTCGATGGACGTTGTTTTTTATTTCTGCCTGTGGTGCCCAGGTTAACTTCACCGATTCAACGATTAATTAGTTTTTTTGCGCACGTTTTCAATTTTTACTGCTCCTATGAGGTTTTATTACGCTTTATTTATTTCTCTGCTATGTTGTTTGTCTCTCAATAGCAGTTGTAACAATTCCGTCATAAATAAATAAATTAAATTCGATTCATAACTGGTTGTCTCGTGTCTCGGGCGGCTCGACTGCGTCGTCGCCTATTTTTCACTTGTTGCGCTCATCGCGTCTTCCAACTTCCACGCGTTGCGCCAACGTCGCGCCGCACGCGTTTCATTTGTTGCATTTTTTGTTTTGCAAACAGCGTTGCGCATCCACTAGCACGAAATGATCTTCCACGTAACAAATTAGCAACAAATCGATGTACATACACTAGCAAAAATAGAGTAGAGGTTCAAGTGATACACCTGTCAACCTGTCGCTAGTTGGTTTGTCTATTTGTGTATGATGCTTCGTAATTACCGCTCGACTTCGAATGCAAATTGGACCGCACGCGAAACGTGTTCAAATGTAATTTTAATGGGAAATATTTTGAGTAGGTAACATAAGTTGATAGTTACCATTTAGGCACCGGCTCGTGGCTATTAACGTGCACAATATAAATAAAACACGCGCACCATCACCCACAACACATAACTCCGCCATTGTTGTTTTGCTACTAAACTGTTTTCTCCGTTCATACTTCTCCCCCTTTTGATGACCAACGATCGGGTGAACTCGGTGAAATAACGAAGCATCCAAACGTTTTCTTGATTCCAATTATAGGCAACCAATCGTACACATTAAATCAAGGTGAATTTTACAATGAAGTCGAAAATTAATTGAACTCAACTCAATAATTTCGGATAAATTATTTATTATAATATATAGTTAATCACACATATTTTAATTTGTTATATATATTTTTTAATTATTATTGATGTATAGATACGTGAAAATTGCAGGAAAATATAGCGCATGCGTTTAATTTTCTCTTATTTTCTTCGTCATCACAAATCACAACATTATATTTTAATAAAAATTGCGTCAAATATTGCACTATACTGTTTATATGTTATACGGTTTATGTTACGGTATTTATTTATAAATTATTAAGAGAAATTCTCCAAGGACGCCCAAACATCATGTCCTTGTGTTTTGGCATAACCTAGGATAAGGAAAAACTTGATTACCATGATTACACCTTTCGATGAATTCGTGTATTTAATTAATCATGTCGTACTTGGGGACGAACCGGTAAGAAAATCAAATTTTAATATCATAAATGTATATTTCTAAAAATGTTATTTTAGTCTCTGGAAGATTTTATCCTATTGATTGGTACAGTGGTGGCGTTTATTGCATTTGTCCTTTGGTGCTGTTTTCCAGTTATCCCAAAAGATGAAGATGATGAAGAACACAGACTGGTTATCAAACGAGATGAACTTAATTACACGCAACGAATTGAGTCAAATTGTTAGGTACGCAAACCAAGAAATAAAAACAAAATGAAAGCAACCTGTAATAAAGTAATACTAATTGACCAGGGTATAAACAAATATTGATATAAATTTTGAAGGTAGTGATGACGATTGAAAATCTACATGTGGTCGTTAATTTTTTCATGGCCTATTGGTTTTTATAGCGCGGCTATGTCCTTGCATAAATATATTGATGTATTTTCATATCTACTGAACTACAAGTTATTGTATAAAATGTGAATAACTGTATCAAATTTAAATTTGTAAATGTTATCTAGTCCTATATTTATTGATTGCTATATTTTAGTATAATAAATGTACATACACAATATTTATTTATTTGTTTGAGTTTAAAGCGTTGATTTATCAGTTTTCTTCTTTTTTTGAGTCTATAAACAATTTTTGGTATTCATGCCATCATTTCAAGATTCTTTACAGTCAATTGAAAATGACAATGAAATTCCGGAAATACTTCCATCAAAAATAGACATACGGTCATTGCTATCTTCCGAAACAAGATCCGGAGGAATCTGTGCAAATGGCTCTTTAATAATATCTGACTGGATAACTAATTTCTGAGAGAAAAATCGCTAAAAAATTAATTTCAAATAAGTTATAATGTACAAAACAAATATTGATATTTTTTACGAATGTATTGACGCATTGCAGTGTTCTATGCGTCTCAATAATTCCTAATTCTGTGAGAGACTCTCTTGCATACGTATAAGATTGTCTAATCTTAGCGTTGGTGGCACGTGCCAGATATTTCATTTCTGCAAGTCCTTGAATAGCGGGACCAAGTTTAGTTTCACGAAGAAGATGATAAAACTCCTCTTCAGAAATATGTTCATTCTTTCTTTCAATTGCCAGCCAATTGTTCTGTAATTTTTGTATCTTTTGGCCACAATCAAGGAAGTGATTTAGAAGTGTATCCAGCATAAATTTATGGCCTGGAGCAGGTTGAATTGGGCTCATTTCCAAATCAAGTTCCATCCACATTTCTCCTAGTTTTATTACTAGATAATTTTCACACAATATTTTTGTTATCTATAAAAGGCAAATTAATTATGCAATAAATTAGCATGTAAAAAATTATTTTTACTTTGTCGTCAGTAGATAAATTGGAATCGTATGTTTTATAGTAGTCGTTTAAAAGATCTAACGTTTGACCATGGTGATTGCTTAGCAATTGCAAAATTGCATAGATTTTTGGTCGGCAACTGACAAATAAATCAGTTATTGATGGACTTACTTCAAAAGAATATTTTTTGTTTAATAATGCTTCTTTCTGAATTGTTCCCATTAGGGGAAACTTTGGATCTATAAAAATAAACACCGAGGGAAAATCATTTCAATTAAATCAACACAAAAAGCAATTTCTAAATTAAATGCTTAAAAGACAATATTTTACCAGTTATTACACCTCTTGACGACAATTCTACGCCTAGTTGCTGACACTCCTTTCGAAAAATATTCACCAATAAGCTTAAAAATCCTACACCGTCTTTTTGCCAAGTAACAACATATGGAATTGCAGTACCTTCTTGAATAATATCCACCAGATAGCCCAAACAAATTAGTTTTACGGTAAAAGCCGCATTTTTTATCAGATCCAACATTATAAAAATTCCCTTCAACTTGATAAAGTAATAAAAATTAACATTGTTATGCAAACCGTTGTTCCAAATCAACCAAACAGAATAAACAATCAAACGTTGAATATAAGCACTATCAGTTGGTCTAGGATTCAAGACCCGATTGAATAGTGCTACCGCAAATTCTACATTTGCAGCACATTCATTCGCAGGAAGTATTCCCAAAATATGTACAGATTGCGCCATTATTTTCTGGTTCTTAAGTTTTAAATCCATATCAAACAATTTTTCAATTATATTTCTTTGCAGTTTACTTTGTGTCTCGATATCTTCTTTATACAAACAAGAATTCTTTGCAAGAACACGTATCATTGTAATTGAGAACCTCAATGCTTGAAAGTAAACATCGAATCGTTGTTCGTAATCTCCTGATATTACGAGTTGATGTAATATATTAACAATATGTGTTTGTCCACTTGCGCAAAGAAAAGCACTTACATGCTCAGATACAATATGCTGTAAAACATTTAAAACTGTTAGAAGTAGTGTGTCATAAAACCTTGGTGCCCAACAGGTAATATCCTTGTTTAAGAGTTTGCATAACGCAAACATTATTTCTTCATCTTCATAAATCTATAATGTAACATAACCTTAAACACAAGCTACTTTTATATTAGTTTTTATCATGCTTACTCTGTCTGCACCTAAACAATGATGGAACACAATTAATCCTATCATAGAAATTTTCTTTAACTCATAATCATTGATGTCGGAAAAATTAAACTGCACAGTTGCAAGCCATTTTCCACCTTGTGTGCAATCACCAATCTTTGACAATATTGCAAAATCATGCACAATACCAGATTGAACATGTTTTGCATCAGGAAAACACTCAGCAAATAACAACCACAAGGCTGCCGTAAAATTCCGCTCGTTTTTGTAACGTTCGTCGATAGTATACAAACGCAAAGCATACCGGAGTCCCCAGAGAGCTTCCACACCCGGCGAGTTGATTTCATTCTTGACCTCATCACTAGAATAGTTGTGATAAGTGTCCAGTAGAGTGTGGATCAACATTATTGAATCGTCCAGGGGGTAGTCGTGGTCCACGACGTAGTTTTCGTATTGGGGTCGAGGACCACCAAGATGTTCCTGCCATTGTGGATTAAGCCGCATCATTACTATTTGAAGGCAACCATCTTTGATTAAAGTCATACCTATTATTTAAAATAGCAAAGTGTTCAGAAAATAACATAAATCAATGCTTATGAAGAATATTACACATTGATGCTGAAAATGTAGCAATAATAGAAACCATTTTCACCAGATCAAAGTAAATATCATTGTTGCACAATTCCATATACTGTGTTAAAATCAATGGTAAGTTTGATAATTCAATTTGTCTAGTCATTATAGTCCATGGCATTGAGTGATCTGGCAGTATTTCTTTATATTCCAACAGCTGTTGTAATGAATTCATAATTATTTCTCTTACAATTTGTTTTGAGGTTGTAACAAGTATATAACCTAAAATTAGTTGGTAAAACATGATTATATGGAAATAAATATGGTTATGTTAATGTACAAACCAAAAAAATCAAAATAATTTTGAACGTTTTGGCTAAAATCTAATATTTCATTTGTGCGACACATCAATGGGGGATATTTCATTAAACCAAGAAAATACTTTGCGTATTCAAAGAAAATCGGCAAAACTTCGCCCTTGCACATTAAAATTTCAATTAGTTTTGTTGCATCTTGAATATCTTGAATCCACTAGATAAAGAATTAATACATGAATAGTTTTTTAAAACTTGGTATATAGAAACTTACAAAACCACATGTTAATCCACATTTTAAATCTTGAAGCAAGTAAATTTGTCTTTTGACTTGATCCTCAGAGATTGTATCCTTCATAACGCGAACCAAAGTATGCAAAATACACTTTGGGTTTATGGATTTGCCCGTCCATTGTGGAGGTGCAGGATGATGATCGCAACAAGGTTCTCCACATGATAACAATTCAAAATTACTTTCAACTAATTCCATTTGATATTTTATTTGAATATTTTATATGTCAATGATTTCTATTAACTTGATTGAAGTTCCTGTATATTTTGATTTAAAACAAGTTTTTTTATTTGTAAATTTGGTTGCATATGTTCAAATAACACAAATATGATAAAATCCTTATAGTAGAATATATTGTTTCCTGTGTAGCCTACTCCTCAGGCGTTAGTGTACACCGTGAAGGTAATATTCCAACAGGATTAAGACTTTTCCTTGTTTCACCGCGCTCCTATCGCTGTTTCCCGATTTTCACGACCCTTTCGCATGGCGGCGTGTTGGCTGGTGTTGGCGCCTTGTGCGTGCGCCAAGATCCGCGCTGTGTGAGGGCGAAAGTATGTCAATATCGTCGACATGAATCGCGTTGCTCAACTCGGCATTCATACTAATAAATGCATCGCAAATTTCATTGGTGTTTGTGCATAAAGACACTGGAAAGTTAGTCGTGAAGAAGCAGCGTTTTGGTTGTGTACTGCGAGTCGGCGCTGACCAACATTGTGAGGTAGGATAATACTCAACAATACATAATACAAAAATAATCAAAACCACAGATAATACCAAACACAACAGAAGCATGAAACGTGTATGAAACATAAAAGAATTCCGTGTTTTATGTGTGTTACCACGTTCGTTATGTGATAAAAACATGAATGAGAAATTATCGTTATTACAATCTGTAAAACAAAACACAAAAATTAACAAGCATAAAACAGAAACACAAAACGAAATAATTAATTGTAATTATTTCTAATTTTGGTATTACATTAAAATTGAATAATTAGGACAGATGTATAAATAGAATCATGAATAAAGAAATGAAGGAATTGAAAGGAAGTAGACACGGCTGGTAAGACAGTAATCGGTATCGATTTTCAATTAAATATGAATTATGTTTTCAATCCGGATACAGCTGTGCTTTTCGAGCAAAAAATTAATAGCCTTTGTAATCTTTTATAAATAGATGCCAGTATATATATATATATATATATTCTAAATTACGTCAACAAATCATAACTGCAGGTATGTTAGAATAATAGGCTATTAATTTGTACAAATTTATAGAATTGTACAAAAACAACTACTGATTAATTCTATTTTTGATTAATTCCGTGTCGTGGCTAACTAAAAATAAATATTGATTGTAAGTGCTAATTAAACTGCAGATATACTTATTCGAGAGCTCAACGTATGTGATAATTACTGAAACCATAATACTTGCCCACTTGTTTATTTTATTAATGAACAGTGACCTACTAATTGTCCTTTATATTTTCACGATAATCACCAGCGGGTACAAGTACACCGTGCGCTCGTAAATAACGTAAATATATTCACAATCACTTAAACTGATTATGAACAAACAACATGTCGACGTGTCAACAAAGTCGTGATTGAGTTATTTAATTATTGTCGCTTTCTAAATACTGGCCAGTATTAAATAAGAAATTGATGAAAAATAGACAATAAAGTTTTGTTACACCTTGTATGATTTGAGTGCGCGTAATGCTAAACCACAATCAGGAATACATTGGCATTTTAGTGTAATCTTTTATCCTCGAGCACCATTATCATTATCAGCGACATATTTATGGTCGCGTTTAGGGATTATTAATTGCCGACGGTGATGTATGATTGCAAAGGTGCGATTCGATGCGATAACGGTACGATGCAACAACACGCAAACCTCGCAAGCACAACCAAAAGATAGCTTATGTAATTGGAACCATTTGTACCTAGTAAGTTACGCTTACATACGATATTCGTACGAGCAGGTAATTCTACTTGATTGGTGTAATCCTTTATTATCTGCTGTGTTAATCGTTATCGGTGACACTACTATAATTAGCATTCTGCTGTTAATTAGATCCAAATTGCAGATACCCTCAACCAATTAAAATTTGAACAAAATCATTGAATTTAGGATAATGATTTGATTTGCTCACAATTGCGCCACCTATTATCTATTTTAACTTTTGCAATAACAAGGCTTGCAGTAGTAGAAGAGCTATGTATGCAGTTGAATAATTGTGCAGGACTCCACAATCGGATTCCGATTGAATACCGAGTGCCGGTATGCCAGAATGACAGGATGCCAGCATGTAAAGTATGCAAATGGCGGAATGTCCCGCACTGGACGGATTATTCATCGATTGGGTCAGGTTTCAATTTTTTAGTTTAGTTTAGTTTATTTTATTTAAATGTTTATCATGTTTTATGGTATAAAAATCAAGAAGAAATTCTATGTAGATTTATATACGTCATTGTTTAAATCAACTCATTGTCCTTGAATTAGCCCGTTTTGCATATATTTCCCAAGGTTTCATCTTGTTTTACTTCCAAGTTATTGCGCAGCGTTCAGTTTACATTTTCATGCAAATTTTCGTTTTCTCTGTGCAACGTCTGTCTCGCTTCGTCGTTTATTTACTCAATTTTACACATTGTGCTAGTGGTATGTACGTCTGAAACACATTTAACAATTTTGCGCAGCGCACAATTCGTGTAATTCAAAGCTTTATTTCAAAACAGATTGAATTTTTACACAAGAAAATTCAATTTACAAAAATGCTATAAATTAACAGCTGTTAAACCTAATCTCAATTTACATCTATTTATTAAGTCACACGTATGTCACAACTTGCGTTATTTTTGACTTATGACAACATCACTTGATACTAAAAACGTATACATCGTAACATCCAGTCACATCTTTACAAGCGCACGTAGCGTTAAATGGCTTACTATAACCTCTAAAGGACGCTTACATTGAAGTTGCATGAAGTCGGCCATTGACGCGGTGGCTTCGGTCGTGGTGGTCGATGGAGTTTTTTTATTCTTTTGGGAAAGCACCACGATAGGTTTACTATTTACTCTTCTCCCCCTGAGCACATTTTATGCTTGTTAAAAAAGGAACAGCAGGTCTAAAGTTTAAACATTTCACGTTTAGGTAAAAAAAATAGTAGTGAAATTTCCATTTGATGGCAAAATGTTTCAGAATACAAATAAACAATTGAACATTTTAAAAAGGTCAACATAATTATAGTCTTTAAGGGTAAGTTCTTACTGTTTCAGTTTTCTAAACCTAAAATAGCATGTCGTGACGTGTGACTCATACATGGCGAAAGGGAGGTGAAATAACATGTAATTTTAAATATAACGATCGTGAAAATAGGGGTGAAAGGATGTACCAGTACCAAGAAACAAAAAAGTAAACATTACGGTACATAAATTATCAGTTTTCTGTAAAATAAAATACTCGTAAATATAACTGATTGAAATTTGTTTCATATAGACAGTATGATATATAGTACTAAAGTACTTTAGTCACGGCCTTGGTCGCCCGTAATTAAAGTGTCACTTTTGGTGTCTTCAACCTTGTAAAAAGTGGCGCTTTAAAGGTTGAAGTATATAAATCATATAAATCCAAACGCTATAATCATATCAATCAAGAACTTCTATGCATAAAATTAAACACGAAATTAATTAATTCAACATGTAGGTATATATAACCTAAAACAACTCTAAATAACACTAAAGCAAAACAATTCTGATGTTGCACGTTCGAGCATTAGTTAACGTTTGTTTGCGCTAGCCAGACGTGAGTGTGTATGTAAAACTAAAAGGAAACTATCTGCATGCACCAAACTATCCTTTAGTGCTTTAGCCTTTATTCTTGATGCTTCAGTACGACGCATCGCGGTGTAATTAAACATCCACTGCGTTGACCCCGCATGCACCTGATGCACAATGCGGAGGCGGTAGTGGAGGCGGCTTAAACGAGTTTGTGTATTTCGCACACAATGAATTTTCAATGTACGCGCCTTACCTACGTTAATCTATCTCTATTCTACACAAGGGACAACAAAAAGTGGGCTGTGCATTGAAGTTAGAAGCTTTTGAATAGAAACGAATAAAAAAGAGCTGCATTGTTAAAAGGGTTGGGAAAGGAAGGAACCTCTGTCAGTAGGAACCGGATGATGAGAACACAGATGGCTTACAATGTTTTGTATGAGAAATAATTTTAGTACAAAACAATACCTAGCAAACAATACTTACATTCAAGTATAATTACAATCAAGTATAGTTGTAGTTACAATTTGAGCATATATTTTATTGTGGTTGTTGGTTGTTGCAGCTTTATTTTATGCATTTATTCTATTATAATTTAACTTCAACCTAGCGACAATATAATTTATAATTAGTTTTCTTCAAATAACATGATACAAAATAGCAAAAGGTTCATTTTACTCCACAACTAAAAGTACAATATTAAATTTGGGTGAGCAATGTTAACAATTTGCAAAGTCATGTCACTTTATTTAACTTTTCGCAAACATCCTGTAACCTTTCAGCATTGATGACAGTTCCGAAAGTGCAAACAACCAGCAACAATAGCGAAACAATAGAATGCGCACAACAAATACCCCACGCACCCCAAAGCACATCAACAACGTAATATGCAATCCTTATACTCATGTATTCAGTATATTCTAACATTTTAACAAAACACTCACGCACGAAATATGATATAGTACACTTTGTGAAACAGCGTCCAAAATACTTCCGCACATGTTGGTGAAGAATGCAGAGGGCAAAGGGTGTAGTGTAAAGTTTTCGGCATCGATGCGTTTGCGTTTCGAGATTGGTAAAACATAAGGTATTTTAATTAAAGGCGACACATTTTCGCAAACGCTATAATTTACATTTTACATTGTTCGGTGGAAACACGCTTTCTCATAGAACTGAGGACTCAGGGTTCATGGGGGTTGACATAGCTTCTGGTGTAATAAACGTTTTACTCGTTTCACATTTTAAGTGCGAGGTGAGGTGTCGTGGTTGTCGACAACTCAGTCTGCATTCTATAGCATTCAATCAATAATATTACGATAATTTTGTGCCCTACGGTCTTGAAAACGTCTGTAAAACTACTTAATAATGAAATTAATATAGCCAAAGTGTTTATACACACATTCTGTTTAGATAAAGATGATATTTATAATACTCAAGGTCGTAATGATTCATTTTTGCATGCAATTCATATTTGCTCGTTGCTGTCTGCAATGAAGCAATGCACATATTTCATTTTCAGGCTCACGATCTGATCTGAACTTGTGAGACTCGGATTGCAATAGAACAGATCCTGTAGGCTGTCAAATAGGCCAAGGGACCACAAAAGGGCAAAGCTAGTCAAAGGACGCAACTCAATCGCGGGATCCCGCGATTCCAGTGAAGGAGGGGACAGAGCTTCCCCTTTCACGATATTTATTTAGTCACCGAAGCTACCGCGTACTGTTTTACTCACGAGGGGGTTGGGAATAGGAAACGAGGATAGGGCAAGACCTATGTACCCGCGATAACTCATATAGCACTTGATTCGGTCGTAACATGAGTCATCACTTTAATCATTTATAGTATGTAATAAGTTTGTGGCTTGAATTTAATTAATGCATGTAATTAGCGCTTCCATTTAATTTTGCTGTCAACTGTTGATATATTAAGTTTTTAATATTTTTATAGTAATTTTTGTGGTTCAGCAAAAGTTGCAGGATTATGATTAACTAAACTGTAAGCAAATTGAAAGCAGTCATTCTTTGGTTTGTTAATTATGAGTTCAGAGATTATTTTTAATTTTAATTAAACTCTGCTTTATCACAATAAAACAGAAAACAAAATTATGCAATGCAATGCAAACAAAGTAAACTGCAAGGCAGGAACATCGCTTAATACAGTTATGTCTAAAATTGTACATAAATGAATTTCATTTAAAAGTATTTTTTTCAAATTTCAATTAAATTAAATTAAACGAAAGATATATTTAAGCAAAAACTTATGTTTAATTTTATAATCAATAAATAATCAATTCTTAATTTAAAGTTAAATTTTCGTTTTTTTATGCACAAACTCAAAGTTGTTATAATTCAGAAATTTTACTTTGATTTCAAACTTTTATATATAATTAGTTGTAAATCCGGTTATCAAAAAACCGCATTATAGCAAAAAAGCGTTAATCGAGGAAGCGTTAAAGGAGGACTTACTGTATGTGTCGCGTGGGCGCCACATAACACCAACATTGCGACGTCAAGCGCCCCACTCATGTGTTACTCAACGGTGCATTTGCCGCCTCTGCCGCCTCCGTCGCTAGCGAACACCCGCATTTCGTCCGCGATTGCCGGCCGGGAAGCACAATTCCCCCGCCATCACTACTCGCGCTTTTCGAGCACGTACCACTCGAATTTAATCGTAACGGTGCGCACGTGTCACGTCAACATCTTTTGATTAAAACTACAATATGTGATCGATAATAATGCGTGTTATACTGGATACCATCCTATTGTGACTTGACTTTGGTTAACTTGATTAATTAATATTCTAACAGCGTGTTTTAACAAAGTTTATTTTAAGTTTGTGATTTATCAGTGAGTTGGCATTCCTCTGAGAGAAGATGATAAAGTACAAAGGACTGCTGAAGAATAAAAGTGAATGCACGTGTTGAAAAAAGATATAGAAATGTCAAACATTTTGAATAATGCATTAAAATATAGTGAACAAAGTTAACTAGTAAATTGTGAAATTGTTAAAGTTTCAAGTCACTTGTAAACAAGTTAATATAATCCTTGACATGTTCAACTATTTACCAATTTGGGAAATCCTTGGCTTAAATAATTAGTATTAATTTTCCTTCATTGCAGTTTAGTTTCAACTTAAAGCCAATATGAAATATACGAGTATATTGGAAGACTATTAAAGTGCAGTAAATTTATTTTAAAGTGAACTCGCGTAACTCAAACGCATAAACATAACTTAAAAAAAAACACGTTTATTACTCATTACAGTGATGTGTGCGCAAAATCAACACTAAAATACCTATCGCGTCTAGCAAGTCTACTCTATGACTATTCTCCTGTCAATTGTGAACAATAATAACTCAATAAGCAACAATTCCTGATTCCATGTGAAACAATACAAACCTCTATTATTGAAACTAAATTGAATAGTGAATTTAAATATTGAACACATACTCCACACCCATATCTCATAGCAATGGATCATACCGAGAATTTGATGACCGCAGCGAATGTCAACGCAAATAACGTTCAAGGTAAATGTTTCCACATTGTCCGTGATTCTAAATCACACTCATTAAATTATTTGTTTTCTCGTTTGGTCATTACATATGAATTTTGAGGTTAAAAAAGGTACTACTATGAACGTCGATAGATGGGAAATTATACATGTATCTACCTATGCAGGTTACAAAACACTCTGTTTTATTTGGTTGTTTTCGCATGGATTGTTTGTTCGGCATATTTGCATTGAAATGAATAATAATAGTAATGTATGCGCATATTGTATATTTAGACATACAGATAGTATGACCCACCTATATTCACCTACGGTTATACGAGTAGTTATCGGTTATCACAATGTGCAAATATTCTTTCAACATAACCAAAATTCAGCTATCATCTAATAACTGAATGTTAATATAAATATCATATGAATACCTCTTCGGAAGCAAACGGTTAATTTGTTCCGATATATTCAAAGTTGGTTCAAAATTCAGCTGAACGTTGTTTAATTGTTGCGCAAAATTTAAATTGCAGTTATAATCCAACATCTGGTCAATGTACAATCGATGTAAACGGAGTTTAAATCCGTTGTGTGCGATAAATGTAATTGGATCCGAAATGCGGATGGAAAATGCGCCAGAGTAGAAACCGGAAAATTGACTTGAAATTGCACCAAATTGCAAAAAATAACATTTAATTTAATAACCAGTAGAATAAACGATTATTTATTTATTCTGTTTAATAAGTTTATTACTTTACGATTAATTGCATTTTATTTTATTATCAAACATGTTTTCGCATTTATTTTTTACATCACCATGAATAAATTGAATAAATTTGTGCAGAAAACAGCGAAAAACTCTCGACGAAACTTTTACGCGCTGGCGTGAATGCAATATCATTAAGGCGACCGTTCAACACAGTTCTTTTTCTTTGGGTTTTTCTTGTTGTGTCACTTTTTTATTCATTTTTTCGTTTTTGCACCACTGACTGCTTCCCAGTTTTTTTAGTCACCCGGCTATTATTCTTGTTCGCCTTTTTTGCAAAACCAGCAACCTAATTTTCTTATCATTTATTTTATACAACAGAAAATTTGCAGAGCAACTTTTACCATTTCAACATTTCATTGATCTTTTCGTAGTTATTTTATTTGTTAGTTGAGTTCCATATTGGAGACCTTTGTCGTTTGTGCTTTTGTTCGCGTTGGCTTTTATTTATCGTTTACTTTTTGTCTATTAGTGTGTATTTTTATTTGATTTTGGTTGCTTTGGCGTAATTTCTGTAGATATGCTACACCACATGCGCTAATAAAAGTTGTAGTTTGCTTGTAAGCAGCTGTGTACAAAGAAGGCGCCGCTTAGGATATAATACGGAGCATAAGATATAATATGGAGTAGGGAACGCATAAAGTACACGCGATTCTTTCTTTTCGAACGAACAGAAAGGGTATAATGCAATTGTAGTTTGTTGTTAAGCTCAAGCCATGCGCGTCGTAAAATGTAAGATGCTTTAATGCGGCAAAAGGATAAGGGATAAAAGAACAGATTTAATTATATTGTTGCAAGAATTACACTAGAAACATAAATATTAGCTTATAACGTTAGTATATTTGAATTATATTTGTGATTTCAATTAAACAATTGAAATAATTTTGTTTAGAGTATTAGACTAAAAAATTACTTATTCAAGTGTAGAAAGTTTTATGTTTACGACTACGAGTACATTAACTTAATATTTTTTGTTTGGGCTAAGATTTTTTAGTTGCTTTGTGTTTGACGTGTATCAAAACTTTAGTATGATTTTAATTTGATAAATTTCTTGCATGCTTAACTTTAATATAATAATGCCCTAAATACCAAAAATAGTCAAGCATTTTTTTTAATTAACCCTCAAACTTTTTTTAGGACAAATAATTTATAAGAATATATGTTTATATAAACTATGTGTTTTTTGCGCTTTTTCCAAGAATGTATGTGGTATTGAGCTTTAATTAAAAAACTTTTTATACATAATGTTAAGCGATTACCATGCCAAATTGTCTCTGGGTCTTGTTAGTGTTTCTACGCCTTCGCCATTCTACATTAATTCTTTTATGATTATAAATTACCTAGGTACTTGGTTTTGTATTTCTTCAAAAAAAAATTATTACAGCTTATATTTGGTCGTTTGTTAATTTTATCAGCTTCTATGTCTTTTATCATTTTTGTTGCCCTAATTGTCATATCTTATTTTTTATTCATCATTTTTATTTTTTGAATGTGTATAGTACACATCTTTATACAAAAGGCAAAAAATAGACCTTCACTTTGCGGCGTATTATTTTCATACTTTAAAATGATTTCGCTATGAACATAAATCATCACAACAAAAGTTTTCTAAGGAAAGCAACGTCAAAACACTTTCTTATTTCACTTGTGTGTGATACATTTATTATAAATACACTTATTATAAAATAGTATATTCTCATTACGATGCATATTACTTTTCAACCGTTTTAAAAACATACATAGATTATTATGACGGGGTAATAATGTATTACTCCAGGTTGGACGATAACAATTAGTTTTCAAGTGATTACACTCAGGATAATAAAAACAACGTTGCGTACACAAAAAGCAACGACAAACCTAACAAATGCACGTTTTCGTTTATTCACAAAATCCACGTATCGTTCAAAAACAAATTGTTCCGCAACGAAATGGCCGAAAAAGTTGTCGACGCACAATAACACTACAAGTGTATACGCGCACAATGCATCGCAATCATGAACGAGCAGGGCCTTTCCATTTTGCCCACATCCAACACTTCCACTGCCTTCCAAAACTTAGCAGGCGGCTATTCCGCAGTGTCATATAAATCAATTTTATGAACGACCGACCGATGGATGTATAACCCGCACTGGAAAATTCAACAACGCAAAACTTTATCGGAATGAAAAACCAACAAACATGCAAAATGCGTATTGTTGGAAAGCTCACAATACTCACTACCACGAACACTGATTTTACTAGCGTGATAGGTATATGTAACAGTAAATGTGTTTTGAAAGGTAATTATAAATTTTCTACTGCCACCCTTAAAGCGGTACTTTTTCTACGGATTTGAGACACAAAAATTGACAATTTAATCATGAACTGACGGCGCATGGCATTTCATATGGTGTTAGTCTGCACCGTAAGGTAATGCGCAATCTCCGCCCTTCCAGAATAAAGGCCGTGACTAAAGTACTTTTCTCACGGCTTTGCCCGTCTGTTTTTAAAATACGTAATTTTTGTATCTAGAAAACGTTGAAAAACGGGCGCTTTAAAGGTAGCAGTAGAAAAAATGTTTTATTTGTTTCTTTAATGTGATTTAACTTGTGCTTTTGAAACAATAGCATTAGAGTTAAAATATTGAAAAAAAATATACTGGATATTACGAGGCGTTATTTTTGATTATGTATTATGTTTGTCAGTTTGCGATGTGGCAATTTTCTGTAAAAACATTTCCATTATAATGACATTTCGTTACTTTTCCCTGTCGTTGCTGTGAACACATAATGTGCCCTGGGGGTGGTCCGTGCCGTACCGTGCTGTGTCCCACACGTGAGAAAATAAAGTTTCAGCGTACTTTTTGCAGTCAGGCTCTTCGACCTATTCGTTTATAATGTTTCGTGATTTTTTAATATTACAAAGTTGACCTACCAAACGCAAACGTAACAATACCAAAACTAAATGCAATAAGGTTCCAATTTTTGATACAGTTTGGATAAATTTATTTTGACTAAAAATGATTTGTAAATTTACTTAGGGCAAAAGATTTGCCTCTTTTAAAAACAAAAAAAAACTAACGATAACATCACCAAGATCTTTATAGGAAATGGTGTTGATGTTATCAGTTATAAGAACTGGAGGCATTTCAAAGCGTTTTATTTCCATCTTCATCTTTACGTCGCCGGACCTTACACTTTCTATTATCCCATTTTTCCACATCAACTTCTAAGCATGCATTTCCATTTCCTGCTTTCGGGTCTTTTGGTGTCTTTTATGGCGACCACTTTATACTAACGATCGTGTTGAATGTATTCACTTTCGCAAAAGAGAATTTTCTGGCATGCTTGGTTTTTATTGGGTTTCTTTCCACTTGTTTTCCGTTTATCCTACATAGTTCTGCTTTGGAATGTCTTTCATTCGTATTTCTAGCTTTCTTATAATACATCTCTTTGTCCCACCCGAGGAAGTCTAAGAAACTCAAGAAGATTTCTAATTTGAAGGAGCAGATATCCCAAAAGCAGTTCGCTAAGTAGTTAAGGAATAGTTTTTACTACTAGTTTAGGTCACTTTGTTGTGTCTCTTGGATAATGGGGTTACAATGGGGCGCAACTGCCTGTTTCTCCCCTTGTGATATCAAACGCACTGCCAGACTGCAATTGCCATGAATGAGGGTGATATGAAGGGTCCCTTAGATTACCCTGCACACACATGCGATCGTCTTACTTACTTAATAAGCTGTATAAATAGCTCTTCGGTCTCTCCTGCATGCAGACTGTTTGTAGACTGCAGTTGCAATAATACTGCTTGTAACAGCAGTTCTGCAGATGCATCAACCCAGCAATACTATTAGAAATGCCACTGCAATTGGAATATTCTTCAGTCTATCACTAGCAGTATTACTTCAATAAGTACCTAATTCAAGTCGTGATGCAATTAATCGAACCGATGTCAAGACGGTTCCTAGTAAACTACACGCGCACGCAATGGTGACTCATCTTATTCATTAGGGGAGTAAGATGGAGTAAGGAGTGGATGGCTAGATCATTTTTGTGGACATAGTTTACGTACTCGTAGATTTGTCATTATAATCTGAATTGTTGTAATTGCTCATGGTTTTCTAATGTATTACGGATGTTTTTTCGTTGTATAACTTGTAAAAAGTAAAAATCATACCCACTGTGATTTATTAACACGCAGTGGCAGTGGTTGTGCTTGAACGCAGCCTGCCACGTTTATTATTCCGGTAGTTTATTCACAACAATTTTTAGCACAGCAGC